AGTCTTGCTACGGAACGTACAATTCTCAGTCGGTCAATACCATCACTTTCCAAAGGTAGAACTTTGTGGTGGGCTTAACTGTCTCGATCGCCTGCCATAGCTGAGGTTGCTGCATCTGCAGCTCTACCTATCTTGCTCGATCATGCATCTTTGACCTGTGGGAAGCTCTTGGCATTCTTCCGTACCGTACAACCGGGCAATCCCATGTGAGGTTGACGACTTACTTTACCTATGATTGCTTTTCTACGTCTCACTTGGTTCGATCATTTGTGTCTAGGTCATCTATATCTCCTCCTAATCACTTGTGGAAGTGAGTAATAACCGAGTAGTGGCCAAAATCGGTCTCAGGAACATCTCAGGTAAAGCCACACCTCGGCTAATAACCTTCTTATCCTTGGTGGTAACCAGGGCTGGAAGCAAGAGGCTCAGTGTTGCCCCAAAAGATCACTGGCCTACCTCGGGAGGACGGTTGCAGCAACCACTTCCTAGAAACAGTCGAATTCCTGTCCCTATGAACCCTTGTGCTTTGGTTCACCGAAGAGCATATCTTTCTAATACCACCAGCCCAAACCGTGAAGGCTACCACTGAGAGACGAAAGAGAAGGTAAACACTCTTTGAATAAACCTTCTGGTCAGACCGACGACTGTCAAACGTGTGGTCTCACCGTGGCCAAAAGGGATGCTGCATTTGACTGTAAAATGTGCAGCAAGTGGGTGTACAGTTCGTGACGAGGACATATTAGACCAATGTTACATCTTCATGGCACGTAAGCCACCCGCGTGGTTCTGATACAGCTGCTCACAGTGCCGTGAGAGGCCACTCTTTACAGGCTCGCTCAGGGAGGTCATAAAAGACAACGCAGTGGCTACTGTGATGTCAGCACTCACGCAGATCACTACTCTAGGTTCAAGTGACAAGAGCGCCAGCACCGTTCCTTGGACAGTCACACCCGTGAATAGTCCAAGAGGACCCAAACAACAATTAGGCACACGACTAACCCTATTGGTCCCTAACCCTTAGGTCACTTTAGCGGCTATCCCCGCTGTGCGTCTGGAAAAACGAGTGACAGTGAAAGAGAAGGTGCACCCTTCCCAGGGAAGCTGGTGATAGATCGAATTCCATCATCCTATTTAACGTCCCTGTGTGCCATGATAGCTCCCTTGAGAACAGTCTTTTGACAAACAGCAACCGAGAACAGTGTGCACTATATTAGGAACATGCAACCTAGAAGCGAAGCTTTGCCGGCTCTACAAAGGCAGCTACTCGTCTCAGGGATAGCTCCGGCCGACGAGCGTGACCCTGAGCTCTGCCAAAGATGATGAAGGATTCTTGTTGTTGTCACAAGCACTAGTCATCAACCGGTCGTCCAGCATTAGGGCCAGGCCAGACCTGCCATGGTCGGCGAAAAAGGCACCTTGCGAGGCACCCCAAGCTCTGAAACCAACAACCATGATTGTCTACGACATGCCGAAACTAACAACCGGCACGATGGTGGAGAAGTAAGTTCATGGCTTCCGTCAATGGCAGTGGTTATAAGCGAGGATGAGGTTGAGTGGGATAGCGGCGGCAGCCTGCAGACTGCCACGCCCCCCACATTTGACGACGACGACATCACCCAGGTTTACGGCTATTGACTCTGGCTGTCAAGAACTTTTAACCAAAATACTGCAAACATGGTACACAGCAGAAGACAAAAGCAGCGGGAACGTTCGCCGCTGCGAAAGCAGACCCAGGACACTGCGGCAACAGAAAACGGCAGCCGTGCGTAGTGCTGAAGTCACCACCGCTTTCGACAGACAAGGTATCCAAAGTTGTCTAGACTCTACAAAACCACTGTGAACCACTGAGAAAACGCGATTGCACGATTTCCACTGAAGCTGACCGTCCTGTATCAAGTTTCGCCATTACGCACGACCCCCTCCAGTCTGCCGCCGCCAAGACACCCCATGTCGTTAGAAACATATTCAAGCGTCTTCACAATAACATAAGGGGAATCAGAAGTAAGATCGCAGAATTACGATTTCTGTGTTCCTGCCTTACTCCAAAGATCATAATCCCAACAGAAACTCGGTTATCATCGAGTATTGGCGACATCGAAACTAGCGTAAACGGTACGCATCTGTCCAGAAGAGACAAGGAGTCTGAGGAAGGAGGCAGAGTGGCAATGTTTATAAGTGACGATATTAAAAGTGAACGAGCAACTGAAACTCTACTTCTGAGGCTCCTAGACTCAATCTAGTGTCACCTCACGGTTGGACACACAAAGTACCTGGTAGAGTGCGTTTACGGAGCCCCTGCTAGCAGCGCGGAACATAACCGACAACTGCTGCAGGCAATGTCCGAAATGACGTCATTCGGATATGACCAGATCGCTTTAGCCGGCTACTATAATGCTGCAACCCTTAATCTTGGCCAGGACAGGAGAACCCCAAGCAAAAGGTTCGACTGAAATCCACTTAACACTGTCAAAAGGGCTGGACCGCATGGGAATATTGGCGACGACACTCACTGAGGGTCGGGTGGAAAACCATCCAGTCAGGACTACCTTTTCACCAGATACTACCTGCTGGATGAAAATGTTCGGGTTCAAACCCCCTTGGTGGCAGCGATCACGGCGTGGTAGTTTTCTATCTGGTACTCAACGAACAACTGTCACGGGAGGGATCTCGCGCCTTTCTTCGCTGCATCAAGGCAACCTACGCGGAGATGAACCAATGTCTGTCGACAGCATCATGGCCTCAAGAGTGGAGTAACCTTTCGATTGATCAACATTGGGAACTAGTTAGAGATATCATCAGGAGGGCTATCTCTGAAAACGTCCCAGTAACTTTAGCAATACAGAGGAAGCGAACTTCATGGCTGAAGCGAGGCACTGAATGCCCTTTGGAAGCCAAGGAGAAAGCGTGGCATAAGTGGAGGACCTCCAGAAAAGAGTGTGACCACACCGCGTATATGGTCCTCGGAAAGCTATCAAAGCTCCGCGTTGGGAAATCGCCAGGATGCGATGGCATCCGGCCAGCTGCGTTGAAACAATGCGCAGGTGCCTTGTGCGATCCGCTGTGTAATCTGTTTCAGCACTCCTCAGGCGATCACATGCTTCCACGAAAGTGAAAACATGCTATTCTATCCTCCAACTCCAAAGAAGGAGGCAGACAGGGCCAAAAATGTCATCGACCCATAGCCCTTCTACCAGTGATGTCAAAAGTGATGGAGAGCCTGGTAGATGACCATGTCAGAAGGTTCCTGGAAAAGAGGGGAGCAGTAAGTGAAGCTCAACATGGTTTCAGAGGGGGTAGGCCCTGCGCCTCAAACATTCTGGTGGCGGGTGACAAGTGGAAAGCATACTGGGACCTCCAAATTCCTGTCCATGTTATTTGCTTGAATTTTGCTAAGGCTTTCGACACAGTCCCGCGCACCGTTCTTATTCACAAAATATCAAGGTTAGGGATAAAGGGGCAAGTCATCTCCTGGTTACAGGACCATTTAGACGGCAGACGATTTTGCACAAAAGACAACAGGGTTTCTTTAACTTGAAGGACACCACCATCAGGTGTATCGCAAGGGGCGATTCTGGGTCGGCTGCTATTCATTTTTTTTTTGAACGACCTCCTTCTGAATCTCATCTCCCCACTTCCACTCTATGCTGATGATGTTAAGTTATGGACAGCTGTGACGTCGGAAACAGGATCAAGCGCACTGCAAAGTAGCCTCGAATTACTTGCAGAGTGGGGGGATATTAATGGACTAGCATTTAATCTGGATAAGTGCCAAGCCATGCTTCTCCGCACCCCAGACTCTCAGAAGGTACCCCATCCTCTCCGTGGAACACAACTTTCCCAAACCACCACAGAGAGGGATCTGGGACTAATACCTACCGACAAACTACACACACGAGCCTACTCATTACCGCACTTCATGCGCAGACAACTAGGTGCCCTGACCCCAGAACTCTTTTCGAAGCTGTACAGGACCTACATACGGCCTCACTTCGAGGTCCGCAGCATCACTGAACCACCACATCTGAAAGATATGTGAATCTCCTAGAGAAGGTCCGAAGGTGAGCTACAACGGGTATCGCTTGAATGAGGCGAAAACCCTACGAGGTCAGGCTGAAGGATCTAGGACCCTACTCTCTAAGCTACCGTAGATCACGTGGTGACTTGATGACGGCCTACAAAATGCTAAGTAACCCAAGTCACCCAAGCAGTGGAATCCTACCGAATGACCACTATAGCGATCCTAGTGGTAACCCAGGGACAGTCAACCGTCAGAGGGTAAAAACCCGTGTGTGGCCACACTTTTCTCTGAGAGTTTGCGGCCACCGCAATGCATTGCCTGCCAAGGTTGTTACTGCTCAGTCTGTTGAGAGCTTCAAGAAGAGGTTGGACAGTTACACAGCGACACATGGTTTGCGCTCATCCAGCCGGGATATGGGCTAGGCTGACACGACCTACATACTCACCACGGTCAACCCACTATCGAATATCCTGTAACACCACTATTGCTGGGAGCCTGGCTCGATCTTGTACTTCCGTATAGACGTCCCCTGCAATTGCCGTCTCCTACTAATAGAATTCCTATAATGTTAGTTGCTCGTCCTACTGACTTCACGTTTCCTTATTCACAATTGTATTCTTACTTCGCTTTTTCTTTTCTTATCCTATTTGTTTTTCTTTGCACCTTCTCTCCCCTCATTTCTCTGGACATACTTTCCACTCCCTTTTTACAAACAGTCCAACCTAATGTATTCTGGTACGAAACTTGAGGAACCCATCTTCACAGCAGTCCCTGGAAGAAAAACACAAAAACGATACTCCCTACAAATTTAACGAACACCCAACAGCATGTCGAGCCGACCAGAGTCACAGCAAACGAGTGAGTAGACCTACTGCATCGGAATCCACCAAAGGCCTGAAATCATCTCGCAAGCCCTAAAAGCGACCTCGAAGAATTCAACTGGTATACATTAGCCCGTTGAAAATATTGGATATTGAATATTGAGTGAGCGTGGGAGATCTGGATTGTAGGTCACGTTCGCAACATGATTCGAACTGTCATTCGTGGCCGTAATAGTTCGCAGTTCCTTAAAGTAAGTGGATATATGTATGTACGTTTCAGATAATACGTACTGATTCTCGGTATTAGCTATCTTGTAGAAACTTAGTATTTGCCTAGAGCATACATAACCTAATATTTCCTGCATCTTAGTAATCTTCGGTATAACATGGACTACGTAGACCGGCATGCTAAATGCAGCTATTTATAATCGCGGTCTTGAGGATCAGGTGTTCTCCAATTTTTGAATTTTCAACAGCTGTCTTATTTGGTCTTACATTTCAGAATAAACTTAAGTGCATTTTAGAGGCTTGAGTTCGGTCTAGTTTCGCAATAGTATTTGGTAGTCTGGTGGGTTAGGATAGAAATTCATCTTGATAATTACCCCCCGACAGGTTGTGGAGCACAAGCGTCTGAAGGCGGCATTCAACCTTGTGAATCTAGAGATAGTTTCGCAATGTCTGACTGTGAAGGAGACATGAAGGGAGATTAGAAGGTAATGATGGGGGAGATGGATAGCAGTCTAATGAGACTTGAGCGCTGACAGAGTTGTGAGGGTGGATGATACTGCCCGGTTACCCACACCATGGAAGACTATTTCTTCCTAGGGTACCTGGAAGAGATTTGTGTGACCGCAGACCCTATCGGACATCTGCTTGAGGCCTGTCACATGCAGCCTTTTGTGTATGATTATTTTGAACTTTCGTTGTTTTGGAGCCGGATGGTCGAAAAGAAACGACAAATAAACCAACACCACCAGCCCGGCAGACCGTGGGGCATGGTGGAGTGTGTTATTTTTGGGGCCGACCTTTTCTAACACCCACTCCCACTGATGGCAGCATCAGCATGGCACTGCTGGTCATCCAAGGGAAACACCTTACTGCTGTCACACCCCATCCAGCTAGCAGCAGTACGACTTCGCTCGCAGACCCCCATCATAGTGTAGTAATTTACACCACAACGGTGACTGGTTTTCGTCTAACCACTATCCAACAGACCTTTCTGGTATGGTAGGACCTCGAGGGAACAAGTGTTCGACCAGCATAGCTCGTTGGGTCATTGTGATATGCAAGCCAGACCACCACGTCAAGGTAGCAGCTATCGGTCGATTGTGGAGTTCGGGAAAATATGAAATATTAATTGACACTTACTCAAACTCGCATCTGCGTAAGAGCTTGTGGATAGTTGTCATGTGACTTAGCGACAACTATAGGTGTCCGTCAGGAATGCCTATTGTCACTATTCCTTTATTATTTTCGTTATGGGTGTGTTGAATGATATAACCGTAGTTATGGCTGACTTCATAGGAACTAAGCTACTCCCTGAGTGTGTGTGGTTGACTTAGAGTAGGGAGACGAAATTATTCTGTAATGTGAAGACGCTGACAAAGTGCAGATTCTTCTTGACACCTTGAACAGAAATCTGTTTATATTTCTGCATGCTTTTCACACCTTTGGAATATGAGGTGGTGCTTCAGAACTGATCTGCAGCTGCTACAATTTTAGTGGCTCAGTGTAAAATAGTCGGATGCTTCAAAGACTGTTCTTACTTTGGTAGTTGCATAAGCTGGTTGCTGACGGAATCCCATCTGGGATCCAAAAGGCCCTTTTGGCATTTATATAAGTGCATATTTGCATCAGGGAGATGTCCACCTACCTATTTAAGGATGAGTATACTGCGCTGCATTCAGTTCTGTTATATGGCTGTTAGATATGACCTTTAACAGTTCACATGAAGTTACTAAATGTGTTTTGTCGTAGGTATCTTCGTAGTATTCCTGGCGTATGGCGGAATCAAGATGTGATTTGTGTAGAGGTTGAGAAAGGTACTTGGGAAGACGGAGAAGTCAGCAGATGAAACACTGGACCTTCAGCGACTGAAGTGACTTCAACGTGTGTTGCTCATGTCAAGCTCCCGCCTTCCTTAGCGTGCAATGCCAGGAGAAGTTGGATTAGGTTGGAAGTAGGTTCAGAGTGACCGAACCAAAACATGTTACCAGTCCATGGGGTTTCTGACTGTCGGTTTGAACCGTGTGTGAAAGTGTACTATCTGGCTGGTGTTCCTAAAACAATGGAAGTCAGTGTTTGGAGACTTGGCGATATGGCTGAAAATCGGTCACAATGGTGATGTATTCAATCTTTGGCGTCCTTCGAAGTTCGAATGGATGGATGGAAAGCTTGAATATTTTCAATGTTTATGTCATGTACTGTCATATGCACCTTTGTCTTTCTACCCACTTTTTTCTATTCTTTTGTAAAGTATGGTAACTTGAACCAACTTAATGTTATGCAAAGATCCACTTTGATTTTCTGTCAAATTATCAGTTTACACGCAAACTGTTTTGGTGTTTAAGATGTAACTTTCACTAGACAACCGTATCACCGGCATGAGATCGTATGGGAAGAAGTTGTGGGCTGTTTTTTAAAGCCAGTCTTTGCCAACCATCTTTCTCATCGAGAAGACAGTGAGTTTGAATTGCTAATCATTAGTGGGAATCAGCTTATTGCTATCAAACCCTATCCAACCAACGTTAAAAGTCTACCGTCCTATCTTCCATCATGCCATAGTTATTTACACTGTAATGGTAACTGCTTTTTGTCTTAACACTATCCAGCAAACCTTTGTGACATGGTAGGACTTCAAGATACACACGTTCCCGCCAGCAAATAACATTTGCTTATTGCCACATGCAGGCCTTACCACCATATCAAGGTAGCACCTATCGGTCGGGAATGACATAATTCACAATTAATATGGAGCTGTGGCCTAGGGAACTTTACTAACAACCAGTGTCTCACATGTTCGCAACCCGCCTCGTCTACCGAGGTTTGGGAAGCCTGGTACTATCACCAAACCTCACACAATAGGTTTGGCTCATTACCTACTGCACAGATGTACACATGTGGGTGCGTTTCTTTTTCGTACTTCCATTACGAGCAAAGACCTACCTCCATTTATCTTCGCCTTACTCACCCTAACTATGAAATAAGGGATAAATTTATGTCAAATGCGGTCGAAGTTGTGGAATATTCAGAAAAAATCTTGAATTGGCTGAATCTCGATTTCTTCACTTTAATTTTTTGGTTTATGTTTTGATTGGTAAGCATATACTTTAAAAGGAATTATGCCATCTGAAATCCATTTATCTTGACTATTCCGTGGAAATGTGGTATGTCAATGATTAGTCGTAAATATAGAATCGTAACTCATTGGTTACTATATTTGTCTTCCAACAATGATATCATACTTTCGACTTCTACTCCGTCAATTTGGTCTCTCGTGGAAAGTTTTCTCTCTTCGAACTCAACTTTATTCATCGAAATTAGGGAAGCCAAATAGCTTCATTATCTTTCACATAAAGCTTGCAATTCATAGCCAATATAGTTACTAGGTTGAATTAGTTTACTTTGTCACCCTTATACTTGGGATTGAAACCAAGTCAGTGCCACTAAAATTAAACTCATAAGCAAACACATACGCTATAAAACTGACAAAAGCACGTAACGTTGACTAAATTCCTAACTATGTATGTATGATGAAGGCCTTGTATGTGTTCATGAAGTAATTTGCTATATAGTGTTCAGGTAATTAATAGTGCAGCCCAACCTCATAACAGGCGTTTGTTTTCTAGGCTAAACCACATATTCTGTTAAGTAGGTGGTGCAACTTAATATTGTTTTCTTGAATAATTTGTACCTTTGCATGGTATTTCTAGAAGTGAACTTTTGGCAAAAGTATTCAAAGTCAAATAAAATGACGCGAATTCGCTGTACATTCTGTGATATGAGTTTTGTAAAACCATCTCGATTGGAGGCACACCTACGAATTCATACTGGAGAGGTAAGACAACCAATTATTATTTTTTTAGTGAGTAAACTTTTCGTCATTGTAAGTAGTGTCAAACTTCCCCATGCAGTTATTAGAGTTCAACAAATGTCCACAAAGACGTTGAAATCTGTATTAATAAACAACAGGTGAACTTCCACGTGGATTGCATAGTTATTAATATATAAGCTCAGTTTGCCTGTAACTATGCAGTTCCTCGTACTCTACGTGCATTTTCACGTTTCCTGATAATTATCAAAATGGGAATTCTCAACAGTGGTACTGCTTAGTGAAATATGATATCAAACATCAGTATCCTATTATTTTATTGGTCGCTAGTTTTAATTTCTTTATTACATTAGCTGATATCTAGGATATAATGTTCTGGTCGTAGAATCGAAGTACCATGATGTTTAGCTTCGAAATAATGTGATGCGGATATTGTGCGTCAGACTACTTTTTGGTACTGCTCACTTCTTGGTACCGATGCCGTATTGAGTCTGTTTTAAATAAGACAAAAAACAAATAGTTGTCTGTAGCGTTTTACAAATTTTTAACCCATAATAAAAAAATGGTTGGTACTTTTCCTCTCCTAAAAGTGTAGACGTCGAATTTCTAACTAATCAGTCCCGAGTTGTAAGCCACATTTTCGATTGAATGGTTCAGTAAACAACAGCAACATTAGTGACACGCCGTTATTTCTTTGTGATCTGTTGACTGCAGTTCGGATGAAGCTACTGAGAGCTGTCCAGCATCCTGCTAAAAGCTGAACGCTAAGTTGTGGTTGTCCTAGCAGGTGGTTTTGTTGAGGATGGCCAATCCGAAAGATAACTAAATTATATTATTTTTATATTATCGTTGTAGAGTTTAAGCCTTATTTTCACGCCCTTTTTGCGGTATGTTATGTCTCTCATTTTTACCGCAGTTTGGACTGCTGAACGCTGATTGGCCCATTTAACACTTCGAATATGCTATTTTGTTTTCTCTGACCGAGGCCATCTAAGGATATATAGACGACTGAGTTTTCACTTATCAGGATTCGTTTGGAGTTAATAAACTTTCAGTCTCATTGTCTTCTGGTGTTAGCTGAATATCGAGTTGAAAAGTTGTTCTATTGTTAATCGCATTCGCCTCGGAGCGTTGCAACGTTATTTTTAGCGTTGAGTCGTAACAGTGGCGACGCGGATGGGATCAAAAATGGACTCTTCGAAGTTGGACAAATTTCTCGAACAACAGATGAAGATTATTGGGTTATTAACTCAGTTCAGAATTTCTGCACCTGAGTCATCGAATCCTACGCCTGCTATATCAGCCCCTTCAGTCGACGGAATTTCAACCAGTCACAGAATTTCATTATGATCCTGATATTAATGTGACTTTCAATACGGTTTCAAAAATATGAAGACCACTTCGGAGTTGATTTTGCTGGTCAAGATGATTCATGGAAAGTTCGTCTCCTTCTTCGAAAACTTGGTCCATCCGAATTAGATCAGTATTGCAATATAATACTGCCACATAACCCAGGAGACCGCTCCTTCGATGCCACAATACAGACCCTAAGACAACATTTTGGTGATCACTCATCTCTTTTCAATGCTAGATATCGTTGTCTTAAACTGGTCATGAACGAAAACGATGGTTTTCTCACATACGTTGGTATTGTTAATCGTGAATGCGAAAAATTCAAGCTGAAGTCCATCACGGATGACCAATTCAAATCTTTGATGACTCATATGCAGCCTTCAATCGCCCAAGTTCGCAGATATCAGAATGAGATTGGTAAGTCGGTTGGAGCAAGAACTAACACTAACATTGAATGATATCGCTGCTGAATATCAACGATTGGTCTACTTGCAACGGGATACAAGTTTAGCCTGATCCGGACGCCAGGGTAATCATGAAGTGCATGCGGTTGGCCAGAAATCTAATTCCTCTGCATCCTTTTCTGGCCGAAAGACCCCGGGTTCTTCGTTTTCTATTTGTCATCCCAGCAGCGCATACAATACCAAAAGAAGCACGAAGAAAACCTCTCCGTCCCCCTGCTGGCATTGTGGTGCATGGCATTTCGTTAAATATTGTCCTTATAAGCAGAATAAATGCAGAGATTGTAATACTGTGGGTCACATGGACGGATTTTGCAAGCAGCGACCATCACAAAAAACAGGCAATTCACCATCCAGTCACCGTCGAAGATCGAAGTCTCGACCAGTCGGCAAATCTCTTAGTCTTACTGCTGCTTTTCAAGCGCATGCACCAGCATAGAGAAAATATATCACCGTCCAGATAAATAACCATTCCGAACGACTAAAAATCGACACAGCTTCCGATATTACGATTATTTCCAAGAAGCTCTGGTGGAAGATTGGCCGATCTCCTGTCCAGAAGACTGTACAAACTGTTAGCGCATGCGGTGACCGATTACCACTAACAGGTCAGTCATCATGTACTGTATCTTTCCACAATATTTCGATAGATGGAGTTTGTTATCTGTCTGACGCAGATTTAAACCTCCTGAGTCTCGATTCGTTTGAAAATCTTGGTCTCTCGCATATGCCTCTAGGTGCTGTTTGCAGTCAGACCAAGCATCCGCTGACGATTGCTGATATAAACCAACGTTTCCTAAATGTATTCAAACCTGATCTCAGTCACTGGACAATATCTCAAGCTCTCCTCCACCTTCAAGACGACGACAGACCTGTTTTCCAACCCAAGAGACCCGTGCCTTATGCATCATTACCACAAATCGACGCAGAAATCTCGTCTGGAAAAACAAGGTGTTCTCACACCAATTTCGTGCTCTGTTTGGGCGGCTCCTAATGTGGTTGTCGTAGAGCCAAATGGCTCTATTCGAATATGTCCAGATTTTTCTACGGGACTGAATACAGCACTGGAACAGCATCACTATCCACTTCCAGCACCGGAGGGTATTTTTACTGTTCTCAACGGCGGTACATGCTTCTCTAAAATTAACCTGGCTGACGCGTATCTACAAATTGAGGTGGCACTAGAATGTCGAGAATTATTAACAATTACATTGTGGGTTATACCAATACAGCCGCCTCCCAGCTCCAGCAATTTTCCAACAAAAAATAGACACCTTACTATCTGGTATACCTGGGGTAGCTGCGTATCTGGATGATATTCTCATTTTTGCGGCCTCCTCAGAACAGCTACGAAACAGATTGGATCAGGTGCTGAAACGAATAGAAGATAACGCGTTCCGTCTTCGTCCCGAAAAATGTCAGTTCAACCTACATTCAGTCAAATATCTGGGGTTTATTTTTGATGCTTCCGGTCGCCGACCAGACCCCGAAAATATTCGCGCTATAAAACAAATGTCAAAACCAACTGATATCCCCTCCCTGCGATCATTTTTGGGACTGGTTGTGTATTATTATTATTATTATTATTACTACCCTCAATGCGTGCTGTGAAGATGCCGTTAAATCGCCAAGGCACTGTTAACTGGCCATCTGTAAGATTTTCTCCTTTATCTGAAAAAAAATTGGGTTTTTATTTCGGATCCAGCTGGAACGGAACTGTTCGATTTCTGCGCCGATCTGACCTACGTCGGGGTCGTAGTTCTTTGTTTATTGGATGTTTTGAGGGTTTCTGGGCATCTGTGCGTGGTACAGCGAACCTATCCGGTAGGATTTCTAGTGAGGTGCCGTTGGGTTTTGTTTGTCCGACTGGTTGTCCTCGGTATTGCAGTTGATTTTTATGTCTCACCCAAGTTTCTGTTCCCACTGCGACATCATATAACAAGCAGCCGCATCTGCCGATAATTACTCCTTCAATTCATTTTTTATGTCCCTGTCTGTAGTCTCTGGTGAATACTGGCGTTTCGATCTCGAAATACTTTTGACTTGCTGATAACCTTTTTAGCCGTTCTTTCGGAATCAGAGCATCATGGGTCGTACGTAACTTTCTCCCCATCAGTGCTTCTGATGGACTCTGGTGATCTGGGAGTGAGTCATTTGCTGTTGTTCGGTACATAAGTAGGAAATTTTGAATTATGTCCAGTGATGTGCCTTCCCCCAGTGCTTTCAGTAGAGCCCTTTTTAGTGTATCGACGAAACCCTCTGCTTGTCCATTGGACTGAGGATGGTATGATGGTGATAGCACATATTGTATGGCACGTTGATGACAGAAGTCTTTAAATTCTGTAGAAGTAAACTGGGGGCCGTTGTCAGATACGATAGTTTCTGGAAGGCCGTGGCAACAGAGTGGGCTTTTAACTTTCTCGTGGTATTTGGCGGATTGATAAGTGCGATTTCTGACCATTTTGAGTAGGCGTCTACCAAAATAAGGTAATGGTTTCCATCAATCGGTCTGGCGAAATCAACATGAACTCTTGACCATGAGGGTGTGGGATTTGTCCAGGACAAGAGTGACAGTCGTGGAGGATGCTTGGCGGCTTGTTGACATTCTGAACACCGTTTGACATAGTCTTCAATTTGTTGGTCCATCCGCGACCAAGCACGTAGCTACCAGCGATTGACTTCATGCGTTCGATACCAGGGCGACCCGAATGAAACTGATTTAGAATTTGGTCGCCAAGAGATGTGGGGACTGTGACCCGGTTTCCAAACATGAGGCAGTCGTTGACGGTATACAGGGAGTTTCGGCGATGATGTAGCTGTTGGAGATCACCTGTGAACGTTTCTTCCGGCTATCGAGTGAGAACAAACTGAATTGCACGCTGTAGTGTTTTGTCCTTGCGTGTAGCCATCTGGATATCGTCTGCGGTGACGAGGAGCGTTCTGATGACTGCAGTTAATTTAAAAGCTGTGAAATCTGCTGTTGAAACTGTTGCAATGACGTTTTCTTCGTTGGTCTTAGGATATTCACTTGGGTGCGTTGAAACTGAATGTCAAAATCATATCCCAGTAACTTTAGGGCTCATTATTGTAGACGATTTGCAGAGTGAACCGGAACACCAGATTTTGAACCAAAAACAGCCAGCAGCGGTTTATGGTCTGTAAGTAGCGTAAATTTGCGGTCACAGGCGACCAGCCTATGGAAACGACAGACGGCGGATGGCCACGGCTTCTTTCTCAATTTGACTTTATTTCCTCTCTGTGATAGACAGCCTTCCAGAAGCATGCATGATGGCCTTCTCCTTACCATCTGGCAAGACATATAGGATTAAAGCCCCAACTTCATGTGACGAAACATCTGCAGCTATAACGGTTGGCAACTGTGGGTAATAGTGGGTTAGCAAAAGGTCGGATGATAACATAGACTTCAGCTGATGAAAGATTGTTGCACATTCTTTGGTCCACTGCCACGGAACGTCTTCATCCAGGTTATTCAATGGCGTCCTGATAATTTCAGGTGGGATAGGTGTTTGAGGTGGCTGGACTAAACCATAACATCAGTTCCTGAATTTTTGGGCTCTTGGTCTTCGCTGTATATGCAAATGTTGATTTTCCTGTAGGGTTCCGCATGCGAACAAAAGTTAGTGGTTCGAGACTGTAAGTGGCATGACGCTGAATCGAATTCCATGGCTCAGGTTTACCGACGCATAATCTTCATCCGATTCATCATACAGCGCTTCATTATCGTTTCCTCATTGTTTTCGTTTTTTTTTACTGGGTTAGTTTTCTAATTGCTTTCCTCCCTAATTCTTTATGCTTTATTGTGGCTCATTCTTGCCTATTCTAGTGACATGAAGTGTGACAACTTGAACCTTTCGCAGTATTTCCAGATGCCTTGTTGGTGATGACTAATTGACTATGTAGGTGGGAGAGATCTTTCTTTGGTGAACTACATTCACATGTTTGGAGATCAGTGATATTAGATGAAATGAATTTTTTGGTATTATATCTATAATTTTTGCGATTTTGTTTGATTTTTATTTATTTGTTCTTTATTTCTCCAAGTCCGATTCATGTAAAGATTTTGCTATTCGCATTATTACTTAAACCAACTGTCGCAAAGTGCGATCGTGTACAGTTTCGCTCTTGCGCTAATTTTTCGGCTTGTCTGTCTTGTTTTCAATACCTTGGATGTAGTAGTTCTTGATGAAAACGTAAGATTAGTCTCCCAATCGATGGTATATTTTCACCATTTCTTTTTGATCAGTTCTCTGAAGGTGGAATTTCACTTCGTACGCATGTAATTTTTTATCCGTCCAACAAACCTATTGCAAACATAAGAAGCTTAAGGTTCATATATTAAAAGTTGAGCAGATCGTATTCTTTACCTTTTTAAGTACATTTTAGACTTTCAAAGAGGCTTTTTGTTACTACAAATACGGAATTTTTGGTTATTCCATCTTTACTGTACGTAAATCACCATTCACATCTGCTTTAAGCATCAAATAAAAACGACCTATATGCTACACAAGTAGACAAACTGTTTATCGACTGGATTTATCAACGTAGGCTACTATGTTTTTGTGTATGTTCGTTAGCTGTATTATTTTCATGGTGGCTAGCGTGACTGACTTCTGTGGCACAATATCGTGTAGTGCTTTGTCAGTTCACTGTCAATACGTTTTTGGCCATTTGTCGTGGTAAACTTCAGTCGAACCATTTTATACTTTCTCTTTATAATCAAGCCACAGAAGTAAACAAACCTGTTTTGTTTTTACATTCGGATTGTTGGTTATGAGGATCGGGAAAGCTACAGTATTGCGTTTAATATTGTTTACATTACTTCTAATTGCTTCTTGTTGGATATTTAAGTGATTTCATTTCATTACAACTGAATTCAGCTTGAATATGTACAGTGAAAGTTGTTCATTTCCATAATGTTTCGAGCAGAATTAAAACTTATCATCGTGTGTAAACACTCATAAATATAGTCTACAATATATATCTTTGGATTGTCTGTGAAGTGAACAATTTCATTTCTCTCCTTACTTCATTTTTAGCGCCCGTATACTTGTGGCTGTGGTAAAGCCTACACGCGTAAACAACATTTAACTCGTCATGTTCCAAAATGCGTTAAATCTGTTTTTTCGGAAGATGACTTACCTCGACAAGAATCTGTTGGAAAAGTGAAGAAGTACTCATGTCCGCAGTGTTCTGCTGGCCCTTTTCAGAAAAAGAGAATGGTATGGGCTCATATGGCTATAGTACATCGGTGGGTATTGATACTTAGTTATTATTTCTGCATATGCAAAGTTCATCTCATACTTATTCGACTTTCAAATGCACAGCAAGTTATTCAGATTTAATTTTCACATTTGAGTTACCACCTCGTTCGGTTTCGCTGTCATAATTCATGTAAATTTAGAGTAGATAAATTAGAATTCATGCCATGTAAATCTTAGTTCGTTTAAATTTTCACTAGTTCATTTAGAAGTTAATGCCATGCCTCATTTCTGTGCACATATAAATGGCTATCAGCCGTTCAACCGAAATTATTAAACAAATTTGTGTTCAACGCCACATAAACTTACAGAGTGTAGTGGTTTGCATTGAGACAATATGTGAGGGTAGCTCCGTACTGTTGTCTGCAGATATATCCGTTTTGTGAATCTTGGCGCCGGAATACCAGTTGGTAAATTTCTAAGTCCAATTGTTTGCTCTCATGTAGACAGCCACATATTCTTCTGTGACCAACAGTTGATGCGCATGTGTGCCGATAATTAGTATTTCTTGGTTAGCAACAGCTTCCAAGGAAAATCTTATAACCTGCCCAACGTTAATATTAATCCAACAACTGTCATTAGGCAGTGTGTCGAAGATCGTTGCTCACTTTAGAATGTATTGTTCAAATCTCATCATACCCTTATTTCGGCTCATGTATTTGCACCTTTATGATCTTAGTATGGATCTAAGTCGTCTGCTAAGATTAACTCTGCGTACGGATTGCACTTCTAGGAATGAATCACGTTAATATCTGAAAAACAACAGCGACACTTTCTGCAACTAGTAACGTATCATCAAACGTCAGAGAAGCTTGTTTTATTTTCATCTAGAACATTTACTTGGTACAACATGGGCACTAAAAGATAGTCTATGGAAAATAACAAAGCAACACTAAAAAGGAACAAGCGAAACTGTGGCTCACTGGTTTCAGCACCCAACCTCCAACCAGTTGGCCATGGGTAAGAACTCAGTTCTACTTACCGAGATCGGGGCAATCAGATAGCATTATTAGTCCGCATGCAACAGATGGAACTCGTAGCCTGCTGCACAAACGTGCAAACAGTTACTAATTACATCTTTTTTTTTAAAAAAAAACTCGAAAATTGAAGAAAGGAGTGGAAACAAAAAACTAGATAGGTCATTGGAGTAGCAGTCTCAACGATACTTCTGAAGAAACACACACTACTTTCTCGTTTTACATTTTAGTAATAAAAACAAGACAAGAAAACTGCTGCATAGTCGCTAGTAGTTTCGATTTTGAGCTATTTCTGCTATTGCCTCATGCCACTGAGTTGCATGATTTGTTGGACCTTATCCAGGGGTGGTGTGCAGAAGGGACTATGTACCTGTTTTGACTAAATTGCCTGTAACACGTCCTAAGCATGACTAATCACTGGTTGCCTTTGTGCATTGTGTTCACTGCAGCAAAACTAGCTTCGAAAAATCAAAGAATCATCTAACGGAGATATGGCTGCTTTTTACTGTTGGTGTCTGTTCTTTCTGCAAATGCAAAAGCTACATAGCTGAAATCCTCAAGACAATTAAAGCCTATAGCAGCAGACTACATGTGACAGCTCACATTCATCTGCGGCGGTATCAACCATATATTCTGTCTTGTTGATTTTCATTTTCACCGTTCCCATAAAGTCGTTTTCACTGTTCCTTATCTTAATTTCTGTATTCTTTTGTTAATTTCCTCTTTTGCTTGCACAAAGTGTAGGGAATTAAACCGATACACGTTTGTGGCAGATCCCGTTCGGTCTTTCTGCTATTCTGTTGATATGGTGACTAATGCCAGTTCGCGAATGATAAGTATCATCCTATGTATACGCTTACCCATGGTTCGCGATGTTTCCCACTAACTAATGATATCAAAGAATCATTTTTCCAATGAATTGTAGAAATTGGTACTTCACTAAAACTAGTATTTTCACGTATATGTGAATAATCCACATCCATGCTTTATCTGAATAATTTGCCCTAGTGAACGGAAACACGTATGCGACAAATGTGATCGAGCCTTTCCTACTATATCGAAGCTCAAACGTCATTCTTTGAAACACCATGGTTACATATGTGATCTGTGTCATGAACAAACGCCTTTTGATCATCAGAATACTGGTTCAAATGGACCCTCAGCTGTTCGTTTTCAAAACTTTACGTCTTTGAGACGCCACATTGCTCAGGCACATCCGAAACCACGTAAGCTAAACTAGCCACTATAGTTTTTTTGCACTTCTATTTTACTTTTGAAGCTTCATTTTTAAGTCGTTAGACGTCTTGCTTGTTTTCTTTGCCGATAACACGTCAGTCTTCCAGATGATTCAAACCAACATATTGTGGTCATCAATGACCAGCATGTTCTACACATTACGCATTGCAAATGCTTTAAGAAGTGATTTGATATCCTGATCCGTTAGATTTAATGCAGAGATGGTCGACAAAAATCTTCAGGTTCGAAATTTGTTTGTCGTTATGACAGACTTCACTCTGTCTCCAGACTTCAAATTAACCTGGTATGAAATATAGTTTTATTTTCTTTGATATAACATATGAGTGCTATATCAGTTGCATTTTGCACCAGCAAAAAATGTTTCCCAGCCACTGTCACTGTTATTGCTTACTTAAAAATTAACTGACATGGTTTATACGATTACCTGATACACTGTATCTGAACCTATCATAACCAGTATGTACATTCCATAATGAATTGTTTCATTCAGAGGTCCCGGCCGATTGCTGTCACCTTGATGTGGTGGTCGTGTTTGCACATCACAATGACTCAATGAGTTACACTGGCTGGAACGCTTGTTACATCGAGGTTCTACCATGTCAGAAAGGTCTTTTGGATAGTGGTTAGATGAAAAGCAGTCATCATTGTAGTGTAAATTACTACACTATGATGGGGGTCTATGGGTGAAGTTGTATTCCTGGCTGGCTGGGGTGTGACAGCAGTAAAGTGTTTCCCTTGGATGACCAGCAGTGCCATGCTGATGCTGCCTACCCAGTGGTAAGGGGGTGGGGTTAGAAAAAGTTGGCCACCAAAAGAGCACACTTCACCATGCCTCATGGTCTTCCAGTGCTGGCGGTATTGGTTTTCTCTATCCGGCGTTAAAACAACTATGGGTGATAGGTATCAAGCAGATGTCCCATGGACTCTGCAGGCACAGAAACCTCTTTCTCTTTCAGGCACCTTAAAAAGAAACAGCCTTCCACGGTCTGGATAGCCAGGAAATGTCAACTGCCCGTAGTAGTAAACAAGATCTATTCATACCCAACCTATTCTTCTACACTCTATCGCTTCCTTTGCCTTCACCTCCTGATACTAGTATTAAGCCTCTTACACCTTTCCCAATCTCTCATTCTCCGACCATTACAATGATCAAAGTGGTCGAAACCTCATTCCTGGTCTCTTAAGACTCCGCTATTGACTTCATGTAGGAGCCTTCAATGTCCAGACTATGCTAAATCGGAAGACAAGCATCGCTCGCCGAAACTCTGGAATCTCTAACCATGGATGTAAACTGTGTCTCTGAGACACATATACAGGATCTGAGTGTGGTTATTAAGTTGACCTCACTTCGCCATTGTAGTAAATCTTCAAAATTCACCTTAAGAGTATCCACAGACCCACTGGCAGCTCATGGACTCGTTGTTGTAGGGATAGCGTTGAGGTGTAGGGCAGGAAGCGCTCTTCTTGACTGGACACTCATCAATAGCCGTTTACGTGCTGTTCGATTGGGTGGTCTGTAAGTACTAGGAAGGATTTTGAAACTAGACGATGTCTATTCGTGATCTCTGCCTGCGTAGCCACCGATTGTAGTTCGGAAGATGTGAAGGATGAATTCTATGAGCAGCTGTAAAACTTGCTACATAAGGCAAATCGTTCAGGTGTGGTCATAATGGTAGGTGGTTTTAACTCTGAATTAGGGGAGCTAAGCTAGTTGGAAAGGCATCTTGGGAGTATTTACAGAACCCCGTGCAATGAAATTCTCTACGTTGATCGTCTGTAGCAATTTTATCTTGAAAATCACTTGTTTCTGATCAGCACTAACTTCAAGCATAAGGAGAGACATTATCTCTCCTGGCATCTGTTGAAATCAACAATGAACGCAGATAGGTCACACTGCTACAAGCCATCGTTGGAAAACATTGATGGAGGACTGACGCTGTTTCTGTAGTACCAGTTTGGACTCCAATCACTCGCTAGTATAGGCTCGTCTATGTCTGGGCCTTACTGGTCGCAGGAAACAGGCGATAGTAAAGACTGTGTATTGTCGATTGGAAGATGAGAGCGTTGAGTACGCATTTAGAGAAAAGATAGCTAAGCATTTGTCTGAACATAATAGCAATGCTCACGCTGAGGAAACCTGGCGTGATATTTAGTCTGCTGTTGAAAGGGCGGCAAAGACAGTTGGTAACCTACTGAAAGTTAGTGAACGTCATTGGGTTTCCGCAACGTAATCCGAATTTATTGTTACCAGAAGACTGATTCCAGCTGGCTCTCACTTCGATGGAGAATGAAACCAACTTAGACGTAAATTGACCATGTCTTCGTAATGATTGTGAGCAGTGGTGGGTGGAGACGTGAGAGCGAGAGAGGTGAAGAAGGCATCAACGCTAGGTAAAACCTAGGTACTATTTAGACTTATTACGACCACTGGCAAGAAGAAAACAGTGGTTAGGGAAACCATCACCAAAAAGGATGGTGCCCTTATAATCTGAATGAGAGGTAGATATTGATCCTACAGCTCTCCTTGAAGTTGAGAAAGCCATATCGAACCTGCAACAATACCAAGTAGCAAGACCAGACAGTTTGCCACTTGAAGTTTTCAAGGATGGAGGTAGGAAATCGCTAATCAATATGACGGAGGTACTAGTTAGTATATAGAAGAGGTAATGCAGTCAGACTGGTGTACTTCACTGATTACCCTAGTTTATAAGAAGCGAGAGAAGTCTTTTGGCAACCGTATGGGAATTGGTTTGACTAATATTGCCTCCAAGATCTTAGTGTCCATAGGTATCCGACGCCTAACTGGTGCTCGAGAACAGGAAAATCTAGAAAGCTAGGTAGGTTTCAGATCTGGACAAGAGTGCACCGATGAGACTTTCACACTCTAACAGATCCTGGTACTCAGGCATACCTACTGGCAGCCGACACTTACAATATTTCTTCACTTTTGACCGAAAGCTGCTACCTTGACGTGGTGGTCGGACTTGTATATCACGATGACCCAACGAGCTATGCTGGTAGGACGCTTTTTCCATCGTCGTCCTACCATACCATAAGGGTCTGATGGATAGTGGCTAGACAAAAAGCAGTTACTTTTTACATGTTCTTAAACAAAGAAATGATGCATTTTGATGCCTTAGAACAGTTATCACTGATTAGTGGTGATCCAAAACCACAGGACGTATGCTCGACTACATCCTTCATAATTCAGACTAAATGGCGTGACATAAAAAAAAAGCCGTACGTAACCGGCCTCTAGCAGATGTCCTCTCAGGTCAAATACTAACCCTTCTTCATGTGTCTCAAGAAGATCTAACCTCCTACGGTGTGGGCGAACGCAAAGTATCAACCGCCCTCACAACTTTACCAGCGCTGAATTTCTCTCAGGTAACAGTCCTACATCATCTTAAATTTCTTATAGCTCTGCAGCTATCCACAATGATCTGAGTCCATCGAACAACATCCTTGATCTCCTTAAACCACGCTCCAAATTACACATTGGAACCTTTAACGTTTGCACCCTACGTCAATTTGGCTAACAAGCTTCATTGGCCAAAACTCTTGCAACTCGACCATGGATGTGTGCTATGTTTGTGAAACACATATACAAGACCCAAGTGTTGTTATTCACCTAACATCTCCCGACAAATCTGGTGAATCCGAGAGATTTACCCTTCAAGTGTCTGGAGATTCGATGGCTAGCTCTCACGGTCTTGCAGATGTAGGCATAGCAATAAGCACTAGGGTAGAAAACTCCCAGTTGATAGTCGCCTCTAGGCTGTCCGACTGAACGGCAGAGTGAGAACTAAAAGGAATAGTGAGACCCGCCGTTGTCTCTTTGTAATCTCTGCTTACGCACACACTGACTGTATGTAGTTCGGATGAAGTGAAGGGCGAGTTCTACCGCGAACTGTCTCTCGAAAGCCGAAAGATCAGACGTGGTGGTTGTTGCAGGTGACTTCAGTGCACAGGTGGGTAGACTGAGTGAGGCAGAAAGGCACTTAGATGGCACCTTCGAAGTCCCAGCTGAAGGTACAGATAACGATGATCGCTTACTACAACTATGCTGAGTTAACTGCCTATCTAGACATTGCTAGAGGGGATCGGTGGAAGACTGCCGCTCCTTCTGTATTACGTGTTTGGATAGCGACCACGCGTTGGTCCGAGCTCGTATATGCCTACGTCTCAATAGAAGTAGAAAAATTTGGCAACAAAACCAATGGGAGTGCAGCTCGACAACGAAAACTTCAAAGCCGCTTTCAGCGAAAAACTGGCTAGGGAGTTATCTGAACAGAAGACTATCACTTACCAAGAAGAAGCTTCATGCCATCTGCAGTCTGCTGTGAAAGCAGCGCTGAAGACCGTAGACGACTCCGGAAGAGTGGCTAAAAAGAGCCAGTGGATATCAGGAGCTTCTTCCGAACTAATGGATGCACGTGACCGCATCCCTGGAGGCTCTATGTACAATGAAGAGCGATCGCAACTTCAAATTAGATTGAGAAAAAGTCTACGCAACGACCGCGAACAGTGGTGGGCAGCGAAGGCTAAAGAGATGTAAAAGGCAGCGGCGACTGGTAACAGCAGACAGTTATTCAGAGTTATTAAGGAAACTAGGGGGAAATAGGTCAACAACGATTAGTGAGGCTATAGCGGAGAAGGACTGATCTGCGATTCACTCGCAGAGGAGACGACTGGGACGAAGGGCAGAACACTTTGAGGAACAGTTTAACTGACCTCCAGCCACCATTGCGTTGCCCGCTATCCAGTCGGATCTTGAAAAAAAACATTGAGATAGGCAGAAGTTGAGAAAGCGGTAGGTCATTTGAAACGAGGAAGGGCGGCAGGACCAGACAGATTAACTCTTGAGGTATACAAAGATGGTGGTAAGGTGCTCTTAGTTAGGTTAACGGAAGTGTTAGCTAGTATATGGGAATCAAATACGGTCCCCCCCCTTGACTGATCTAAATCACCGATTATCCCAGTCTTCAAGAAAGGCGAGAAGTCCTCTTGTGGTAACCACAGAGGAACCAGCCTGACGAACATAGTGTCTAAGATTCTAGGTTCTATAATTCTTCGACGCCTGAGTGGTGCTTGGGAATAGCGATCCCGAGAAAACCAGGCAGGCAGGTTTTAGACCCGACCCAGGGTATGTCGACCAAACATTCACACTGTGCCACATTTTGGAACGCAAGCACCGACGCCCAACACTAGCTGTATATCTCGACCTGAAGGTGGCATTCGACTCTGTTGATCGAGAAGTCTTATGGCAATGTCTCTCATTGAAAGGAGTGCCGACTAAGTAATTCACTCTATTGAAGGCTCTCTACTCGTACACTTAGAGCCTGTAGTGAGATGTCCACGGAGCCATGCTTACGAGTTGTGTCGGTCAAGGCTACCCACTCTCCCCATTCTTATTCAATTTTATCATAGATATTCTTATGGAGGTCTCCCTTTCATCACCTGACTACACGGAGATTGACCTAATCGCAGGAGGATTTTCGTTAGACCCAGAATACACAGATGACATAGTCCTGTTTATTGAGGACGCTGACAAGATGCAAATTCTTTTGAATACTTTGAATGTCAGTTTGTGAATGTTTGGGATGCGTTTCTCACCACCCAAATGCAAATTGTCGTTCCAGGATCGGTCTTCAACGGTACCCCACCGCGGCTAACAATAGGGTGTAGTGGTTGAGTGTGTTGACCACTTCACTTACCTGGGAGGTAGGATCAGCCCTACCCTGGTGGCTAGCTTAGTGGCCGATGAGATCTCTGCACAAATACAAAAGGCTTGATTGAGTTTTGCCAGCTTACACCACCTATGGCGTCGCCGTGATATCCGATTGTCTATTAAGGGTGGCGTGTACTGCACAACAGTCCACTCTGTTCTACTGTATGACTGGGAAACATGGCCATTGAAGGTGGAAGATATGAGAAGGCTGGCATCAGGTGTTTGACCACCGTTGCCTTCATAGTATAGGCCGCCGTATTCCGTGGTGTCACCATGTGAGTAACGCAGACGTCAGGTGTGGAGTTTTAGGGAGAAGAGGTTGTGAACCTTCATCGACTGAGATGGTTGACTCCGACACGTGTTATGTATGCTTAGTCGCCGTCTGCTTCGTTACAAAATGTTGACTGAAGTAGGTTGCGGCTGGAAAAGGGTTTGGGGTGGCCAGACTGAAACATGGCACCAATGTATGAAGTCTCTGACTGTTGGTTTGAGCCATGTGGGACGATGCAGACTAGCCGGTTGAGGTCCGCGGGACAAGAGAAACCAGTAAGTAGTTGGAGACTCTAGGTGATCACATGGCTGGGAAGCGATAACAGTAGCGTAGATAAATGCACATTTCCTCATCTTACGTGCTATATGTAATCATATCATTTTCTCATTCCTCCGTCCTCTTTTTTACCACTTTCTAAATCTTTTCCTGGCCGATTTTCCTTTCCTTCTGTATCTTTTATTTTACTTGTTACTTGATGTGTTAATATGAGATGTGGCCACTTGGACTGTCACGCAGTAATTCGTGGTCCTATGTGGATCTTGATGATAGTGTCAATATTTTTTGACTTGGCTACATTTGACTCTGTAGACCGTGAGGTGTTATGGGAGCATCTGACTACGAAAGGAGTACCGAGAAAGTGTATAACGCTAATTAAGCTTTTTGCTCGAAGTCACGCAGCTGTGCAATGGCTTATGGAGAATTGTCGTATAAATTGACGGCACCCAGGGATGTCTATCAGAGATGTCCACTGTCACCGTTTAAATTTAATTTCGTTATTGGTGTACTAATGGACATAACCTTAGGTACATTTGACGCCGGCCAACTTTCTGGAAAGCATATTATTTACTTAGAGTACGCAGATGACATCGTATTTTTAAGTGAAGGAACCGACGAAATATAGGGTCTTCTGGACGTCAGGTGATACACTAGTACTGGTCTGCAACGAATCCCAATTTAATGATAGAGAGTGAAGTAATGGGATGTGTTGACCACTTCAGCCTGAACGGACTGGTTGCTGACGAATTTTCAGCTTGGATACTGAAGGCCCGTTTGGCATTTGTCAACTTGCATCATCTTTGGCATCGCTTAGCAAGGCATCTATCTATGAAAGGAAGAGTATTCCGCACTGCAGTCCGTTCTATCCTGTGAGAGATGGACGTTTAAAGTAGAAGACATTACGATTACAGGATTTTGATTACATATGTCTTCGTGACATTGCTCGCGTTTGGTGGAATCACCGTATGACCGTTGTTGATGTTTAGGCGAATGGTACTAAGGAAAACAGGCACTTTGATTGATGAGGTTGTGGACCTTAGTGGACATGTACTGTGCATGCCGACCCACCGCCTACCTTGACATGCCATGCTCAGGGAAGCTGGATTAAGTTAGAAAAGGGTTCAGGATGGCGAGACCAAGACGTTGTTCCAGTCGATGAAGGCTCTTACTATTGGTCTAAGTTGTTTAGGGAGGTATAGACTACCTGATTGGGGTCCACGAGACGAAACAGATCAGGGGTTAAGGACTCTTAGTGACATGACTGGAAATCAGTCACAATAGCGCCGATGTATTCACTCTTTGACTGCTTCAACACTACGGAGTACCACAAACCCTTATCAATCTCATTCAACAGCTATATGCTATACGATGCTATATGCCAAATGATTCACGATGGAAAGCTCAGTGACTGTTTGAAGTGAAGACACTGATTGTAGTGGACTGGACCGGGTCATGCAAGAAACTGTGAGGAGCTGTGAGAAGAGAGGCATACAAGCTGGTTGGACCGATGAAAAGATCCTAGAAGATTTGGATTTTGCCGATGATTTATGTATGCCTAATATCGTACGAGCTTGAAAATCTACGAGCTAAAACCAACAAGTTGACAGAAGAGGCAAGGCAACGAAGACGGGATTTCCTTCAGGTGAACGTTGAGATGACGCAGGTGATAAAGATAACCAACAGCAGCAGCAACGACAACGAGAAGCACCAATCACCATGAACAGGAGAAACCTAAAGGAAGTTGTCTCTTTTACCTACCAAGGCAGGACGGCATAGTTTCAACTGCAGGCGGCGGCGGCACAGATGAGGACGTCAAAGCGAGGATCGGAAAGACAGCAAGACACACCTTCATTAATCTGAAATCAGTGTGATCTACTGCACTGCACTGTACTGCACTCAGCATAAAGAAGAAGATCCGAATTTTTAACACTAATGTCAGTCAAGTCAGTGCTTGTCGCGTTACGAAAAGCATTTCCAACAAACTACAGACATCCATCAACAGCTGCCACCTACGCTTACTCGATACTGAAGATCAGATGGCCAGAGAGAATAAGCAGCAAGGAACTCTGGCATGGCAACGAACCAACCATGAACCCATCGCCCAACAAATATGCAGAAAAAAGTGGAGATAGGATTAGGCATACACTGAGAAGGCCGATTGGGGGCATCACGCCCCAGGCCGTCGAGTGGAACTCAAAGGGGAAACGATGAGTTGGGCATCCAAGTGTGACATGGAGGTCGTTTGGGAAAGAAATGAAAGCTTGTGGGCAGTCGTGGAGCCAGGTTCAAAAGACTTCAGAGAACAGGATGAAATTGCAACGTGCAACTGAAGCCCTATATTCCACTAGGAACCCAACGGACAAATAAATAAGAAAAAATTAGTTCGTGGTTTCAGAACTTAGAGAACATCTGCTTGGGGCCTATCACATATGGCTTTTTTTAAGTATGTCGGATTTAAGGTATGATTGTTACAGTTGGACAAGGAAAAGCAATACCGTGGGGAGTGAAGGAATGTGTTATTTTCGGAGCGGATTATCCCTGACTTCATCCTTCCCATTGAGAATGCATCATTAGTATGTTTCTACTGGTTATCCGTGGGAAACACTTTAGTGGTGTCACACCCCATCCAGCTAGCAGTACGACTTCGCCTTCAGACCCTTATCACAGCGTAGAAATTTACACTATAAAGGTAAGTATTTTTCGTCTTATGGCTACCCAACAGACCTTTGTGGTATGGTTGGACCTCAAGGAACAGGCATTCCGGCCGGCGTAGCTCATTCGGTCATTTTGATATGCGAGCGTGACCACCACGTCAAAGTTAGCAGCTGTCGACTATATTCGTAGGATAAAGGAGAACTGAGACTTGGGTAGAAGTTATGTCTCCATGTCCAGTTATACTGGTTTTTAGGCCCGGCGGTCGCTAGTTATGCTATCACAACCCAGGTTTTTCTTTAGTTTTATCATCATCTGTGCTTGTTAAGCTCAGTTTTCTCAGCAGTGCTGTCGTAGATTGTAGGGTAATAAATAATGGAAATTATGCTCTAAATTAGTAAAATTCTTGTCTATGAATGCATTTTCCCTACACTTTTAAAATCCCTGCAATATAATAGGATCAGGTAACAGTTTTATTTGTTGTGATATAAAAAACGTAAAAAGGTATTACGGATGATGATTGTTGAATATTACCGTTTTCCTTAGTTTACTTTTTTATTTTGAAGCGAGCATAAATGTTTCTACTCTTATCACACTCTTATTCTTTATTGAATTTTATAGCCTTACAATGTCCTACATGTAGTATGCGCTTTACAAGGCCTAGTGCACTATCAGAGCACGAAGCTACTCACACTCCTGGAGGGCCTTCAGCTAGGCGAAGATTTATATGCCCTGTATGTCCACCTAACCATATCGGTGATCAGAATAACTCTGTCTCACAAGGAGATCACATTGTTGCATTTACAGCCAAAAGAAATTTAGATGCTCATATGCGGTCAGTACATGGTAACTTCAAATTTCGATGTACTTGGCGTGGATGTCCTGTGATATTATCCACTAAAGTAAGTGCATATTCAGCTTAGTTTTTTCAGGAGTGTAATATATACTTGTTCAATATCTTCATGACTATATTCCGTTGATATACTGTACTGCGGTATAGTAAAAGCTCATCTGATGCTGTAATTCCCGATCATTGGAGTTATCAGTCATTGATCTAAACAGTCGACTTTCGACCATAGTGTCACAGTTTCAAATACCAGTTCATCTGCGGAGATTTGGGTAGCTAAGAAGTATCATCAGCAGTTAAACAATAAATGTGATTCACAGCCTAGTTCTAACATATCTGTATGATTGTTGAATTGTCTTACTGAATTATTATGTTTTCCTTTGAACTTGGCATTTTACTTTTTATTTTTTTTATTGCCTTTTTATGTTTGACTGCTGGTTCAGCAGGGTGTAATGTACTTGGCTGCAGATCGCTCTGTTCTGCTGTAACTGTTAATGACGGTTATTATGGCAGAGAACATGAGAAGAATTCAGGTATTTAACCCCGTTGCCTTCGTAGCATAAGCCGTATTTCGTGGTGCAACCACGTCAGTAACTTAGAAATCAGATGTAGATTTCTAGTTTTAGTCCCTGAAGGCGTTAACTGTTTATCTGAACTGTGTAGGGAAGTGTAGACTTTCCAGTTGGGGGTTTGCATGACGACAGAAACCAGTTTTTGGAGACTGTAGGTTACACGACTCAGAATCTTTCTCAGTGACGCAGATATATATATATATATATATATATATATATATATATATATATATATATATATATGCCTTAATTTAATCTTAATCGTCAAGCTGAATTTCTATATTCCATCATTACTCCTTATCTTCTTTTGATAACTTCTCACCGCTTTTGACTGCTTCTTTATTTCCTTACCTTTCATCTTAGATTCTCGCTTCATGTGATGATATGAAGTGCGGCAACTTAGATCATTACGTTGCAATGTCAGCCTCCTATGTTGATTTTACCTGTCTGTTTGTCTTTCATTTTTAACACACTATTTATTAACTGGTAATTAGGTTATCAGAAAAATATTCGTCTTTATATTTTAATGTTGCATTGTTATTATTATTGACATTGTAGTAAAATGGTTTTAAAGGCAACATAAGCTAGTGATTATTACTTTAACTGACGAGGTAATTGAATAATGCGATGATCGCTGACTAGATGTGATCTACTGACATGAAGCTACTAAAGTATACGACCGTGAATACTCAGATTGACTGGACCTTTTGTTCAGTGAAATCAAGCTATGTGTGTTAGAGAGTCATCGTGATTGCAAGTTGTCTACATAGGAACTTTCAGGGACTCATACCTGGATCGTTTGAAATCCCCAAAACCCTACTTTATGTTATGTAAATTTATGAAAGCAGCAAGTTTTTTGAAGCTATTTTACTTCCGTTGGCTTCTAAAATGTTTTGTTTTATATAAACAAATTCTGCTAACTAACATCACTATCTTTAATGTAAGGGAAAAACTTGGGCATTGTGGTAGAATATAATTCCATATTAGATTGTTTATGTGGCATAGCGCATAGGAACACAGTGTGCTATATCAAAAACAATCTAATAAGATATCACTATCTTATTCTGAATATTCTATACTTATACAATCACATTCCAATTCCTTGTTCATTGGCTTCAATGTCCGAATTTTATGTAGTGAGACCATGCTGCTGCTCGTCTCCTGTTCTGGTTAGTATCATAAACTGTAGCACAATAAGTATACCTCATGGTCTAGGGCATAAATGCCTTTACCGAGATTGTATCTGTGTCGCTAAAACCAATTTCGTAACGCGTTTCTTGTTGCCCTTGTTGTATCAGGTTTGTGCCTGGATGCGATTTCAGGATCTCATATTCAAGTATATCTAAGATTAGGTAGTATCTTTAGTGCATAGAATTACCTGTTTTCAAGTTAATTCACTTTGGAACACGGAGAAAAAAAAAACTCCGAAATATTAACACATACTGAAGCAGTCACGAAGAAGAATATATGTGTCTTGTTTACACATGACTAGCATTGTTTCCATGCGTTTCATACAATTAAAATGGTATTTACGAATAAAACTCAAACCATATTGTGATTATGGTTTTCAATGCATCTTAGTATCCGAATATTATTTGAACTTGGTTATACTTTTCCATAGTTTTGAACTACCGACTAAATTAAATGCAAAATAAAATATTTATAAACCTCTCATTAGCATTTCGTTTTGATGCATAGTTGATACGTTCATGCATGTGAATAGTACGAATGTAGTACACGAATTACAAATATACAACGATAACATTCAGACTGCAAAATGAGGGTCATAACGTACAGTTGAGTGACCACTACGTTTCAGTGAAACGACATAAAAACAATAATCGATGAGTCTTCAGAAATCTTGTAAAAACAATTACAAAATAGTTATATGAAATCACTGCTGATTAACTTATCGCTTGAACTAAATACAGTATTTAACTAAAATTTGCATCCTTCCTTTGGTCCGTTATAACAGTAATACAATGTTCAGGAATCTGAGGAAGACAATTGTCATCTTGAAGAAAACCGTATATGCCAAAAAAATATTGAAAGGTTTTTTTTTAGGATCCAAGGTTTACTTTATTTAGGAATCCAAGTTCACTGCGTCATATCTCACAGCCCTTGAAACTGATAGAAGACCGTTAAATTAGGCAATTTTTTTCTTATTAGTGATAAGCTACGATATGAGTGTGACTTTAATCATTGTTACATGCATCACTTACAGAAAACGTTTTCTTCGCTGAGGTCATTATTTTAATGGCAAAACATTCAAGAAAACCGTAAATTATTGTTAGTAACATGTTGAGTTGGCTCTCAAGTTGTTTGCGGATTATTCATGATCCACGGGCGATGTTTTCAAAAGTATGTCTAGAGTTCTTGAAGCCCTTAGAAAGTGATGTGGACCCTATGAAGTTGGGTTTGCTTAATGGTCCTAAGCTTCTGGTTACTGTCAGACAAAACATTGTTGAGCTGTAGCTCCATAGGCAGTTGACTTTCCACCATCAAGTCCCAGTTTGGAAGCATGCTCCACCTACCAAAGTTTGAACAGCTAAATAATATCAGTAACCCTCATAGTAGCCCTATGTTCCATTAGGAACCTAAGGGACTAATAATAATAATAATAACCCTCATAGTAGACGTAGCTCACTGCCTAATAGACGAATAGGCATATGACTCTTGAAGTATTAATTACTTAGTTAGTATTGGCGAAGAAGTGTGGATTACGAACCGTTAAAATAAATTTTCATTTATAACACTAATAAATATTCCAAAACTGTGAACCTCTATTAGTTGGTTGCTCATCGTTTGAAGACTTATATGTAGCATGCGTGAATTCGCGACTTCTCATTGTTTCTCTAAGATTTTCAGTTGATTGATTTATTGATTCTGACTATCTTGAAACCCTGTTACACTGTATTGAAATGTTTTCACGTAACTATATCGCTCTTAGTAATATATAAAATTCAAAAGCCATTTGAGTGAACCAAAAAATATTCTTCTCGTTAACTTCTTCTGGTTCTACAGTTATGTGTACATATTGAAGAACTGTTTGTGATTATGATTATTATTTCATTAGTCCCTTAGGTTGCTAATAGAACATGGGGCTTCAGTAGCACGTCTGCAGTGAACTCTGTTCTCTGAAATCTTTTGAATCTGGCTCCACCACAGCCCATAAGCTCTCATTTCCTCCTCGCACGATCTCCTCCATGTCACCCTCACCTCGGACACCCAAATCGTCGCTTCCCATGGGGGTTCCACTCGAGGGCCTGGCCTGGTGCGTGATGCCCCCAGTCGGCCTTCTTAGTATATGCCCAATCCATCTCCACTTCCTTCCAGTGCATATTTGTTGGGCGATAGGTTCTTGATTGTTTCGTTCCCAGAGTTCCTTGTTGCTTATTCTTTCTGGTGGTCCATCTGATCTTCAGTAGTGAGCCAGCGTAGGCAGTTGTTGATGAATGTCTGTAGTTTGTTGGAAATTCCTTTCGTAACTCACCAAGTCTCTCAACCATACAGGAGGGCTGAACTTGACGTTGGTGTTGAAAATCCGCATCTTGTTCCACATGCTGAGTGCAGTGCAGAAGATCTCCACACTGGTTTCAGGCCAATGAACGCGTCTTACTTTCCCGATTCTGACTTTGACATCCTCATCTTTGGCGCCTGTAGTTGAAACAGTGCTGCCTAGATAGGTGAAGGAGGTTACTTCCTTTAAGTTTCTCCCGTTGATGGTGATTGGAGCTTGTTGTTGCTGTTGGTGATGTTAGTTGGGTATCTTCATAACCTCTACCTCTGTCTTCTCTATATTCACTTGAAGTCCCGTCTTCCTTCGCTGCCCTGCCTCTTCTGCCAACTTGTTAGTTTTCGCCTGTAGATCTTCCAGTTTGTGTGACAGTAGACACAAGTCATCGGCGAAATCCAAATCTTCTAGGTTCTTTTCCGTGGTCCAGCGTATCCCCCTCTTCTCGCTCCCCACTGTTTGCTGCATGATCCAGTCCAGTCAACCACAATCAGGAATATCATGGGGGATAGTAGGCAACCTTGTTTCACCCCTGTCTTCACTTCAAAAGCATCACTGAACTTCCCGTTGTGAATTACTCGGCATGTGGCGTCGTCATGTAGTTGTTGAATGAGGCCGATAAAGGTTTGTGGTATTCCGTAGTATTGAAGCAGTTTCCAAATTACTTGTCGATCTACACTGTCAAAGGCCTTCTCAAAGTGGATGAAGTTGAGGTAGAGTTAAGTTGACTGTCATTCTATACTCTGTTCTATGATGATGCAAAGCGTAGCAATTTGGTCCGCACATAATTTGTACTTTCTGGATCCAGCAAACCTGTTCCGGTCGCAGTTTTGAATCCAGTGCATCCTTTAGTCTCTCCAAGATGATGCGGCGTAATATTTTGCTTGCTTTGGGTGGACAGGAGTGTGACTCCGCACCAGTTTTTACAAACACTGAGGTCTCCCTTCTTCGAAAGTTAGACAAGGTAACCCTTGTTCCAATCGTCAGGTACCTTCTCTTCCTTCCACACCTTCTGCAATAGTGGTGTGGTGTGAGCATGTCCGCTGTTGTCTCTGCGTCTGTTTTCAGTGCTTCTGGTGGGATCCCGTCTGGTCATGCTGCTTTCCCGCATTTTAGTAGCTTTATGACGCTCAGGACTTCAACTTTTGTTGGAGGATTTGTGTTCGCTTGTAGCTCAGCAGCTGTAGGTGGTATTTCTGGACGAAGTGCAGGTGGTGGTCGGTTCAAGAGCTTCTTGAAGTGGTCGGCCCATTGTTTCCTTTGTTTCTCTTCTTTCGTAATTAAATTTCCTTCTTCATCTTTTATTGGTTTCATCTGTGTTGATCTCTTCCCTGATAGCAACCTGGTTATTTGATACAACCAACAGTAGTCTGTTCTGCTTCACTTGCCAGTGTTTCGTAGAAGTGTCTTTTGTCTTTGCGTGCACTCTTCTTCACTTCTTTGTCCAGTGTTTTGTACGTTGTACTCAGTTCCTCTTCTCGTCGTTCATCCTTGCACTGGTTTATCTTCTGCTTCACCATCCTCCTCTCCCTGCTCTTTCAGCTTCCATGTATCCATTGAGATCCATTCCTTATCTTCTTTCTTCTTCCTTCCTAATACTGTTGTGCAGGTTTCTTTCCACATCTCTTTCAAAGACTTCCAGTGTTCTTCCACACAGCTTTCTTCAGGGATGTTGCTCAATGTCTCCCATATTGTCTTGATAGCTGACGTGAAGATTTCCTTTGTGGTTTCGTCCTTCAGTTTCTGGGTGTTGTACTTGAATTGTGGTCTATCACCAACTTCTGTGAAGGCTTTCAACTTGATTTGGAAGGCTCCTTGCACAAGATAGTGAGTTGTGTGAACCTACATCTGCTCCTCTTCTTGACCTTGTGTTAAGTAGACTGTGTCTCCATTTTTTTGAGGTTGAGATAAAGTCGATTTGATTTTTAGTGTGTCCATCTGGTGAAGTCCATGTCGCTTTGTGAATATCCTTGTGCTTGAACACACTGCATCGCCTCCAATCACCAAATAGTTGAATGCACAGAATTCTGCAAACAATTCTCCATTCTCGTTCATCACCTCACCGATCGCTTCTTGACCCATGGTTAGTTCTCTTCCTGTGTTGTCCCCTCCCAGTACAGCATTCATGTCGCCTCACGCATTAGAATTCGGATATCCCCAACTGAGGTCTTATCCAGTGTTGATTGAAGTTGTCTGTAGAATTCCTCCTTCTTCTCCTGATCTGCATTATTTGTGGGTGCCTAGTGTAGCATTGTATGATTTTGAACTTCCTTCCTTTTGAGTTGAACCTTGCTGTCATAATCCTGGAGGAGATTGGTTCCCATTTCATGAGAGAGAGCCTTCGATGCTGTTGGCAGGGGGACATCATGATAGGCACTCCAATACTCAGTGTGCTTTTGGTTGTCGTCTGGGTGACAATATCGGAGTAGATTATTGATTCTCCAGTTGACAGCTTGGAGAGTCCACCCCCATTCCATCTACTTTCGCGAATTCCAAGCACTTCAATGTGATACCTCTTCATCTCTTTTGCAATCTGGGCTGCCTTGCTGGGTTCAAACATCGTACGGACATTCCATGTCCCCACGTTTACTTTCGCTTTCATCGAGAGAAGAGGAGGCACATTGGCCAATTGGCTTCCCGAAGGCTTTCACCAACTGGCGTCATTTTGCCTCTCCGATTCCAGCGAGGAATAATTTTGTTATTATTTCTTATATTTCGTTTGTGCTTTGAAGTTTCTTTAGCGGTTGGATTTGTTTTATGGGGTAGGGTTGCTAGCCCTATGCCCAACCTTCCCTGTTTACCCGGGCTTCGGACGGGCTAGTAACTAGTGAACTAGCATCAACAGTAATAAGATTTCGCTTATCACCCTGTTAATATAATATTATACAGTTGAGGAAGGCAACACAGAAAAGTCTTATGTCAACATTAACAACAAAATCAATTGTTACTGAGATTTAATTCAAAATATTTATCTAAACGATTATATGGCTTACATAACACTAAGTGATAGTTTGATAAAACAGTGAAATGTTTATGAGACCTGGATGAAATAAATTAAAGAAAATAATTTGAGGAATAATAGCTCATCAAAATGGGGGACAAAATGTGCTAAAATTATTCCAGAGTATATGGATGAAGGGATGTCTACAGTATGGAGTTAGAAAATTAGATTACCTGAGGTAGGATGCTAAACAATTTGTGTGCCCCGAATCGATTCACTTTCGTTGCAGCGGCAGCACTTGCTTTTTTGAACACATAACTTCGGTTGTTTGATCTTGATTGCTACTGCTTCTGCATTCTGAAGATTCGAAGCCCCGTACCTGTTGGCTAGTTGATAGAAACCCGACATAGAATGGAAAATAACTAATTCATATCCACCTTATAATTCGTTTCAATCAAATGTACTAATAAAGAACGAGTAGTGTTCTTCACCTTTTAACCACACTGGAAGGTGTTCGCGAGCACGGAGAATTAAATTCCTAGCGCAATGGCTGACGTAACTAGCTCCACAGGAGCAGTTGAACTGGTAAACACAATAGGAAGTGACCAGTCTTAGCAATTCATCTTTGAGTCTTGGTGTCTCCATTAAGCGCGCAAAGAACATAATTTGCAATTTACCAGCATTAAAAGTTCTCTGTATTGATTTTTGTAGTTTGTGAAGTAGTATCTAACTGAGCACCACCTCTAAACTGTACCCGAATGTATAGGGGTTTCTTGCTAGTCTTTGATACATCCTTGTCATTTCTTGTAATCATATATATATGAATTTATCAGGATAGTCATTTTCATTGGCGTGTTGCTCAAAATCGTCAGTTTCTCAATTATGTCCTCCGAACAAATAGCCTTTATTCTGTAAGTTAGAGTTTTTAGCACTGGATGAAGGTACCATCTATATATCGATAGTAAAATGAAAATTCTCTGATAAATCGTTCAAGCAAATCATTCTGTAGTTTTGATAGGAAAAGATCCACTATTATGGGACCCAGTGGAGAGCTCATTGGGACTCCATCCACTTGTTCACCATCAAGTTTAAAATTAACATTCATCTTGCATGTTAGCAAAAATTCTTTTAGGACATCTATTGGGATCCCGACTTTAGACTTTTCTTTCAAGTGTTCACCTATATAGAGTTGACTGTCTGAAGGAGAGAAACACCGGTGAATAGAGATATTACATCCAGTGACATCATAGTTTTATTTATGATGTTAGCCTCCCTAATTCTCTCCATAAATTCAAATATGTCTTTCACACTACGTTTTACTAGCTGTTTGCGTTAAGGTTGAAAAGTAGTAACCGACCATTTCACTGGAGCATGGAAAGGAGAATTTCGCATATCAGGAATTGGTCTTAACGGCACTCCTGGTTTGTGCGCAACCTATACACTCTTGGTAAATGGTTATCCATCCGATAACCAATTATATTGGATTGAATCCCAGTAACAATTGATTTCATCATTAACGTTCACGTAAGACTTTTTTGAATCGCCTTCCTCAACTGTATAACATTATTAACCAGCTGATAAGCGAAATCTCATTATTTTTGATGCATAGTTCTTCAATATGTACACATAACCAGAAGTTGGCGACAAGAATATTCTTTGTTTGCTCAGATGGTTTTTGAATTATAATGGGAATTTTCATTGATATATCAAATTCCCTTGTAGTCTCTTACTTACTTTTGGTCATCGTGTGCTTTTCATTTCTTTTGCTATCCTGTGTTTCAGGATCCTTGATCACTATCTTAACAGGCTATATTTAATTTTTATGGATTTGAATAAACTGTTTTCGCACCATTTCTTCACGCTTTAGTCTGTGGATCTCTGTTTGTCACTGTTTTCAAGGCTACTTTGTAATTGGTTGACACTACTTTGAATGTATCACTGTTCTTAATTCTGAACAAGAACAAAATCATTATCTACATACATATGTGTGCTAAAATGTTTTTGTCGTTTACCGAAGCAGTAAACGTTATCTGTTTTGACGAGTTTCATTAATACTGCGCTCCATTTGGGTGAGGGGTTCAAGTTATTGGTATCCGGATACTAGATGAGGAGCTGCCGCTCGTTACAGATATTCTACTGACTAATGTAGTGGTGTAAGTTAAATCAGTTTAGATCGTTGCACAATAATGCCGACTTGTATATTTCTAATGGTTGACGGGTTGTCTCATCTAATTTTACAATATCTACGATAAATATTCTGATACGCTGGGTTTATATTCTCTTTTGAGAAGCGTGACATGTTAGATTAAAGTAAGATTTATGGTTGACCAAGAATACAACTTTTTTTGAAATACTCAAAGCAACTGTGTAATTGATAAATTGGCTGTAGGGAATAACAGCAAGTTTCAGCAGCTATTTAATTTTTTTATTGATCACAAAACTGCTATTTCGCACTTCTGTGTTATTGATGAGTTTCAGCTCGCACACTTGCGTACTGCTTTCAAGTTGTTCGCTCAGATTGACATCTTGGTCGGTAAATTACTTGGTGTATGTGCAGCGACATAGCTCAAATTTTACCACAGTTGTACAGAACATCTTCGAAAAGTTAAACATTTTTTCAATCTGCGCTTATTTATATTGTCACTGCTTTGAATGTTGCTGTGAATTGTGGCAACTTGAACTTATGGCCTTTTGAGTCTCGTTTCACGAAATATTTCCTGACGAAAACGCTGTCTTTTTATATCATATTTACGTGTAAAGTAATCACTTGTGTATTAATTATTCTGTTCTTTTCCTTTTCTGTTTTCATGCATGTAGCAAAAGTTGAATGAACATCTGGAACGTCATCGGTCAGGGAAACCGGTTGCCTTCAAAAGTCGATATAAACGTAGTTCACTTGAGTTAAATGGTAGTGTACGAAAAAATGATAGAAAAAACATATCTAGTGATGAAGACTGTTGGGAAACAGCCAGTCAAAATAGCGTAGTAGCAGCACTATTGACTGACCATGTTGATTGTACAGTTGAGTAACTTTCATAAAGTGTTTACCATTCTGTATCATTGCTGTGAATAATTTATTAGACCGTGCGCTAAATGCATCGCAAAAACATTTTTCCTATCGAATATCGACATACTTGTGTTTGTGTAAATATATTTCGATTCCAATAACTTACTCAGAGATACATATTTTGGTAAAATGGAATTATTGTTCCCTCTAAATACTAAATAGTGTTTTACTTTCTGTGAGTAATAAATGCGTTCTGAGGTTTTGTGAAGCATTGCAGCCCTAACTTTAATCCTGGTCCGACTAGTGCATAATGTTCAGGTTGATACAGGGCATTAGTTGTTAGTAACATGGGAATTAGGAACCAGATGTTCAAATGAGAGACTCTTGTCAGCCAATATATCAGGAAGCTGTAAATTTGTATTCCGTGAGGAAACTTAAACAATGGATCATAATGAAAGTAATGATAAAAGTCCGTATAATCGTAGTTAAGGTGTACATGATAACAATATGGATTACATAATTTACAGGATCTTCCATACAGCGTGTATAATCCAACCATTTGTGTAAAATTGAGTTATTAGATTGTCGTTGAATTCATTTCATAAAATACTAACTATTCCACAACGATAACTCTTGTAAATAAACTGTTCTGTGACTACTTTCAACTCTCAAGTACGTGTAGCGTTGTCTTCTCTACTTCGATTTTAACGAAAATAGTGGTTAACAGTGTGTAGTAAAAATATGCGGACATAGTATGAATGCGATTATCCTAACGTAAATATCAGCATAGGACAAGGCATTACTACGTAACGGTCCGAGTTGCCACATCTCTTATCAGTACCTGAAGTAGAAAGGCAGTGAGACGCAGGATGAAGATAAGAGAATGCAATCAAAAGAAATATAAAGTACGAAAAGAGAGAGACGAAGAATGAGAAAGTAGTGAGATTCGGTAAAGCGTCGTTAAGATGAGGATAATGTGTGTATGCATCTGTGCCACTGACATCGGTTCTCAGCCATGTGATCACCTAGAGTCTCCAACTACTTACTGGTTTCTCTTGTCCCGCGGACCTCAACCGGCTAGTCTGCATCGTCCCACATGGCTCAAACCAACAGTCAGAGACTTCATACATTGGTGCCATGTTTCAGTCTGGCCACCCCAAACCCTTTTCCAGCCGCAACCTACTTCAGTCAACATTTTGTAACGAAGCAGACGGCGACTAAGCATACATAACACGTGTCGGAGTCAACCATCTCAGTCGATGAAGGTTCACAACCTCTTCTCCCTAAAACTCCACACCTGACGTCTGCGTTACTCACATGGTGACACCACGGAATACGGCGGCCTATACTATGAAGGCAACGGTGGTCAAACACCTGATGCCAGCCTTCTCATATCTTCCACCTTCAATGGCCATGTTTCCCAGTCATACAGTAGAACAGAGTGGACTGTTGTGCAGTACACGCCACCCTTAATAGACAATCGGATATCACGGCGACGCCATAGGTGGTGTAAGCTGGCAAAAGTCAATCAAGCCTTTTGTATTTGTGCAGAGATCTCATCGGCCACTAAGCTAGCCACCAGGGTAGGGCTGATCCTACCTCCCAGGTAAGTGAAGTGGTCAACACACTCAACCACTACACCCTATTGTTAGCCGCGGTGGGGTACCGTTGAAGACCGATCCTGGAACGACAATTTGCATTTGGGTGGTGAGAAACGCATCCCAAACATTCACAAACTGACATTCAAAGTATTCAAAAGAATTTGCATCTTGTCAGCGTCCTCAATAAACAGGACTATGTCATCTGTGTATTCTGGGTCTAACGAAAATCCTCCTGCGATTAGGTCAATCTCCGTGTAGTCAGGTGATGAAAGGGAGACCTCCATAAGAATATCTATGATAAAATTGAATAAGAATGGGGAGAGTGGGTAGCCTTGACCGACACAACTCGTAAGCATGGCTCCGTGGACATCTCACTACAGGCTCTAAGTGTACGAGTAGAGAGCCTTCAATAGAGTGAATTACTTAGTCGGCACTCCTTTCAATGAGAGACATTGCCATAAGACTTCTCGATCAACAGAGTCGAATGCCACCTTCAGGTCGAGATATACAGCTAGTGTTGGGCGTCGGTGCTTGCGTTCCAAAATGTGGCACAGTGTATATGTTTGGTCGGTATACAAAAAGTATATTTCAAATAAGTGAAAACAAACCTATTCCTTTACGGGATTGGAGAGACGAAGTGACACTGGTTGGTGAGAAGCCAGTCGGCTGATGTATCTTCTCTCGATGAAAGCAAAATTAAGGATGGGGACATGGAATATCCGCACCATATATGGACCTACCAAGGCTGTCCAGATTGCAAAAGGGGTATGGCATGAAAGTGCTTGGAATCTGCGAAAGCAGATGGAATGGAAGTGAACTGTCCAAACTGTTAACTGGAGAGTCAGTAATCTACTCCGATATTGTCACTCTGACGACAACCACGAGCACACTGAGTTTTGGAGTGGCTATCATGATGTCCCCAAGAGTATCAAAGACTCTCTCTCATGCAGTGGGAATCAACCTCCTCCAGCATTATGATCACGACAGCAAGATATAGCTCAAAAGGAAGGAAAGTTACAGTCATTCAATGCTACGCGCCAACAAATAATGCAGAACAAGAGAAGAAGGCCTGCTTTAACTTCGGGCTACCAATGAGATTTTCCACTAAGCATGATACATCAGTCCTCCCTATTAGTTTGTTTTAATCTCTGAAATATGTCCTCCAAACCTATCGTGTACTTTTGGGGATTTTTAAAATGTTCTTAATGTAGTGGTGGACGTTTCCAAAAAAAGAGGCGGATTTGAACCCGAAGTGTTTGTGTGTGAGCTACGGACAGATATTGGGTATCCTATACTGATAACATTGTTGTAACTTGTGTATTTTACATTTACATTTTTACACCGGAAACTAATCCAGCAGCAACCGTCTGCTCCACATTATTACCTTTGATGCTGTTATGCTGAACATCACTCAGAAGCCATGATCGTTTTGTTTGAAAATATTGTTTTGGAAGTAAATTTGTTAATTTGTTACGTGCTGAGAATTCCTTGATATATCAAATGTATTGTTTGAAATAAAGCTATTATTACCAATAAAAAGCAGCATTGACTGTATTTGCATTGTAGACAACCTGCGGGTCCCTATTTCTCTACATAGCTTAGACAAATAAACAAGAACTTCATGGTTGTCTTTGCTCCCTTTGCCAGCTTAATCCTACCCAGGTTAACACTGTGAATCGGAGTAAAAGATTGTTTGTCGTCCGCAACACATCTGAGTTGATGAATGTTCACAAAAATTATGAACCGCACACCCGACCAATATATTATGACGAAGTGAACCAATCACATACAACAAATACCTCAAAGGTAACAGCTGAAAAACTGAAACCATTTCATATCCTCTACTCTTAGTAACTATATTACACGGCTATACAAAAGAACAGAGAAAACTGATACCTGATACACTTGACTCGTAATTATCAGTCGCATATTATGCCGGTGACGTAAATAGTGTTAAACGGCAAAAGACCAATGAAGCCTTTTGTATTCATGCAGAGGTTTCGTCGGTCACTGAACCACCAGGACCGATCCAACTTCCCTAGGAAGTTAACTGGTCAATCAACCTAACTACTTCACTTCCTATCTTTAGGCAAGGTGACAACCCAGACCAGTCCTGAAGCAACAATCTGCATTTGCCTGGTGAGAAATCCATCTCAAACATTCTCGAATTGCTACTCAAGGTGTCCAGATGACTCTGCATCTTATACAGTGTTTTCACGTAACAGGATCGTGTCATTTGCGCACTCTAGGTTTACTAAAGGGTCACCCGTGACAAGGCCATTCCATACAAAGTCAGATGACGACAGGAAAACCTTCATAGGCATGTCTAAGACAAAGTCAAACAAGAATTGAGAGAGTGAACTTCGCTGGTGGACACCACTCGACGTATACAATTAACCTGATACCTTATCACATTGACATGCCCATAAGTATTCGAGTATACAGGCTTCAACAAAGTGATGCACCTACTAGGCACCATTTCAATGACAGACGTAGCCATAAGAGTTCTCATTTGGTGGAGTGGAACGGCAACTTTGCGTAGAAATGTATAGCTACTGTTGGGCACCAGTAAGTGTGCACGTCTTCCAACACCTGGCGGGTAGGTTCTTTCTGAGCTTCATTCAGACGTCTGATGATTATAAAACCTATAAATTCAGACACTAGGTACGTCAGTTTGATTCCTCTGTAGTTGGCACAAGAAACATTTTATCATCATTTGTTTAAGGTTTGAACAGTTGTCTTTTCAGACCAGTTAGAGAGGATCATATCTGATTTCGATAAGCCATTCTTGTTAACCATCAAGTATCCTACTCCACTCTCCTAAGCTATCTCTGGTGTGATCCCACTAGGGTCTACTACCCTTCCTCATATCAGATCATTGTCAACCTTCTCAACGGTTGCAAGAGTCGAAGACCTTATTTCAGTGTTTTATTCAAGGATGAATTGTACAGCAAGCAACCAAATATTGGTTGGAGTTCAATTGATCTGTTCCATAAAACGCTTCGCTCATTGTCCAAGTTGACTCACCTGTAGCAGAAACACACCCAACTTCACCATAATCTCACTAAAAATCACCATTTCCGTTCCGTCCTTCGGTTCTTCTACGGTGTGGGCAGCCGGGAAGTATCAACCACCCTCACAACTCTGTCAGCACTCAAGTTTCCTCAGACTACAACAACTATGCTGAGTTAACTGCCTATTTTTAGCTAGCACAAATTTCAGAAATAAAGAAAGACACTGTCTGATGTGGCGTCCACCGAGCTCAACCCAGCGATGGACACAGATAGACCACATTGCTATTAGACATTGCTAGAGGGGATCGGTGGAAGACTGCCGCTCCTTCTGTAGTACGTGTTTGGATAGCGACCACGCGTTGGTCCGAGCTCGTATATGCCTACGTCTCAATAGAAGTAGAAAAATTTGGCAACAAAACCAATGGGAGTGCAGCTCGACAACGAAAACTTCAAAGCCGCTTTCAGCGAAAAACTGGCTAGGGAGTTATCTGAACAGAAGACTATCACTTACCAAGAAGAAGCTTCATGCCATCTGCAGTCTGCTGTGAAAGCAGCGCTGAAGACCGTAGACGACTCCGGAAGAGTGGCTAAAAAGAGCCAGTGGATATCAGGAGCTTCTTCCGAACTAATGGATGCACGTGACCGCATCCC